TATCCATGACCGTGCCCATCCACAAAAAAGGTGAACGAGATGACTCTGGCAACTGGAGGCTCATCTCCCTCTGCTCCAATATCTACAAGCTGTATGCTAGCTGCCTCGCAGCAAGGATCACGGACTGGTCAGTGTGCAGGGGTGCAGTCAGCTCAGCTACAGAAGGGCTTCATGTCCTGTGAGGGATGCTACGAGCACAACTTCCTTCTTCAGACGGCCACCCAGGCAGCCAGGAGGCAGCGCACCATAGCATGGCTCGACCTGACCAATGCTTTCAGGTCCATACCCCACCATCACATCTTCGCCACCCTGGGAGAGTTCGGGATGCCAGAGTCCTTAATCCAGATCCTCCGGGACCTCTACAAGGACTACACCACCACCATCCGCGCCACGGAGGGAGAGACGGACGCCATCCCCATCTGCTGTGGTGTGAAACAGGGCTGCCCCCTCAGCCCCATCATCTTCAACCTGGCCATGGAATTACTCATCCGAGCCATCTCCAGCAGCCTGACCAGCTTCGACCTGCACAGCAAGAGAATCAGCATCCTGGCCTACGTGGATGATCTGGCCCTGGTTGCCGACAGCTCGGAAAGCCTCCAGCGGATGCTCGACATTGCCAGCCGAGATGCTGAGAGGATGGGCCTCTACTTCAACCCCAAAAAGTGTGCCTCTCCCCACGTCAATGGCAGTGCCAGGGCTCCCGTCTGGGCATCACTGTTCCTGATCCAGGGCGAGCCCATGGCCTCCCCTGAAGAGGGAGAGGTATACCAACACCTGGGCACACCCACAGGACTCCATGTCCGACAGACCCCCCCATCATAAATATAAAGGGAAGGCCCTTTAAATCCCTCCTGGCCAGAGGAAAAACCCTTTCACCTGTAAAGGGTTAAGAAGCTAGGATAACCTCGCTGGCGCCTGACCAAAATGACCAATGAGGAGACAAGATACTTTCAAAGCTGGGGGGGGGGGGGGGAGAAACAAAGGTTCTCTCTGTCTGTGTGATGCTTTTGCCGAGACCAGAGCAGGAATGCAGGTCAGAACTCCTGTAAAAAAATTAGTAAGCGATCTAGTTAGATATGCGTTAGATTCTGTTTTGTTTAAATGGCTGATAAAATAAGTTGTGCTGAATGGAATGTATATTCCTGTTTTTGTCTCTTTTGTTAACTTAAGGTTTTGTCTAGAAGGATTCTCTATGTTTTGAATCTGATTACCCTGTAAGGTATTTACCATCCTGATTTTACAGAGGTGATTCTTTTTACTTTTTCTTCTATTAAAATTCTTCTTTTAAGAACCTGATTGCTTTTTTCATTGTTCTTGAGATCCAAGGATGTGGGTCTGTGTTCACCTATGCAAATTGGTGAGGATTTTTATCAAGCCTTCCCCAGGAAAGGGGGTGTAGGGTTTGGGGAGGATTTTGGGGGGAAAGACGTTTCCAAGCGGGCTCTTTCCCTGTTATATATCTGTTAGACGCTTGGTGGTGGCGGCAGCGATAAAGTCCAAGGGCAAAAGGTAAAACAGTTTGCACCTTGGAGAAGTTTTAACCTAAGCTGGTAAAAATAAGCTTGGGGGGTTTTTCATGCCGGTCCCCACATCTGTACCCTAGAGTTGAGAGTGGGGAAGGAACCTTGACACTTCCCCACTGCAACTTGAGACAACTGCTTCTTGTTCTGTCATCTGCCACCACTGAGAACAGCCTAGCTCCATCCTCTTTGGAACCCCCCTTAAGGTAGTTGAAGGCTGCCATCAAATCCCCCCTCACTCTTCTCTTCTTCAAACTAAATAACCTCCGTTCCCTCAGCCTTTCCTCCATAAGTTATGTGCCCCAGCTCTCCGCTGGACTCTCTCCAATTCGTCCACATCCCTTCTGTAGTAGGGGGACCAAAACTGGATGCAGTACTCCAGGTGTGACCTCACCAGTGCCGAATAGAGGGGAATAATCACTTCCCTCTATCTGCTGGCAGTACTCTTACTAATACAGCCCAATGTGCTGTTGGTCTTCTTCGCTGCTGACTCTCATCCAGGTTCTCATCCACTAGCAATCCTCAGGTCCTTTTCCGCAGAACTGCTGCTTAGTCAGTCTGTCCCCAGCCTGTAGTGGTGCACAGGATTCTTCCTTCCTAAGTACAGGACTCTGCACTTGTCCTTGTTGAACCTCATCAGATTTCTTTTGGCCCAATCCTCCAATTTGTTTAGGTCACTCTGAACCCTATCCCTACCCTTCAGCATATCTACCTCTCCCCCAGCTTAGCATCATCTGCGAACTTGCTGAGGGTGCATTTAATCCCATCATCCAGATCATTGATAAAGATGTTGAACAAAACCGACACCTGGGGCACTCCACTTGATACCAGCTGCCAACTACACATCGAGCCGTTGATCACCACCCATTGAGCCTGCTTTCTATCCACCTTATAATCCAGTCATCTAATCCATACTTTAACTTGCTGGCAAGAATACTGTGGGAGATCGTATCAAAAGCTTTGCTAAAGTCAAGATATAAAAATTTTATTAAAGTTAATGTTTAAAATCAAATTTACACAAGTTCAGAGGGAAGATACTGTACATCTGGTGTCAGGTTTGGGTTATAGGGGATTGCAAGTATCGGTTACAAGGTTCACGAGGTACATACGTATCACATAACCAGCATAGATCCAGATTGGGGTGCAGGAGTTTTTAAAACGTCAATGGATTAGTAGGCTCAGGTGCGCCACCCATGGAATGTATTAAGAGTCCAAGTCAGTAGTGGTGTAGAGAATAAGTACATGGGCGGGGTGTGTCCCTCGGTTCATCACAGAAGGAAGTGGTTATTTCCCTAGTCAGTGGTCTTGGTTACTCGACCTGGTACTGGCGGTGTCCTGTGATGTTCCGTGTAAACGTCACGGGACCACCTGATTGTGTCGGACACCATGAGCCATCTCATGAGCCAGAAGTAGCGTCAACCGACTCCGCATGCTCTCAGTACTGGCTTGTTGTGGGGGTCCCATGTGCCCAGGGCTCCCACAATCAGGGCTTGGATCTGGACCTCATAGCCCCGGGCTCTCAGACTGTCGGCCAGTGGGGTGTACTTCAGCGCCTTCTTTGCTCAGGCCTCGTGGAAGGCCGGTGACCTGTTTTCAAATGGCACCGTGACGTCTACCATGAGGACCTTCTTCTTTTCTGCGTCGGTCACAACGATGTCGGATCGCAGTCAGCTGCCCGTTCCGGGGATGGCAGAGTTGACAGTGATCTTCCCAGGGGTGGCGGGATGGCTTTCACCAGCCAGTTCTCGATGGTGATGTGGCGGTGCAGCCAGGCTCTGGAGCAGTATTTGCATCCACACAAAATGTGGGACAGGGTCTCGTTGACGTAGCCGCACTTCCTGCAGTGCTTGTCCCGGTTGCCGTGGCGGATGGTTCCGTTGAGGGGAACGCAGTTGAGTCAGGCCCAGTGGACCAAGAGCCAGTCAGCGAACCTGGTGAAGCTGCCCCCGGGGAGGAAGTGGTTGCTGATGTCCCACTTGCTGGACACCTCCAACACCTTGCCCTGGTCCAGCTTCCACTTGAGGTTTTCGGCATAGTGGCAGCGGATGGCATCTTTCAGGGTCTTTTCCAGCATCATTCTGGCGGTCGGGGTGACAATGGTGTGGTCCAGGGTCTTTAGGAGTGGCACCAATATTCCCAGCTCCCAGTGCTCCTCGCACCACTTCCAGTGGCAGCCGATCCTCTTTTCTAGGCATCTTGAGGCATTGCGGGCGTGGGACCAGAGAGAGGACAGGTCCCCCCCGCCCTCCTGAACTCAGCCTCCAGGGAGCCGCTGAGGTAAATGGCAACGTCCTGCTCATAGGGGGCCCTGATGATGCGTTTCCTGACCACGTCCTGTATGACTTCCTCCATGATGCTCCTCACTGTCGGGTTCGGGCACATCAGGAGGCAGAAGGTTGCCCATCCGAGGTACATTGGTGCTGCCCTTCATGTGGGAAATGTAGATGATGTTGGTGCTGGCCTGTCACAGAGTGTTGGGGAGTCAGGGCCCTGCACCCCCCTCTTCCTGCAGTTCCCCGTGACTCTCAGCCAGTCAGTAAAACGGAAGGTTTATTAGATGGCAGGAACACAGTTCCAAACAAAGCTTATAGGTACAAACAGGCCCCCCTCAGTCAGGTCCCTCTGGGGGGAAGGGAGCTTAGACCCCAGCCTTGAGGCTCCCTCCATTTCCCCAGACTGCTCCAAACTGAAACCCCCTCCAGCAGTCTCACCCAGCCTCCCCCCCGGCTCCTCTTCCAGCCTTGGTCGTTTCCTGGGCAAAGGTGTCACCTGGCCCCAACCCCCTCCTGGCTCAGGTTACAGGCTCCTGTATTATCCCTCAAGTGAAGCCACCCCCTGCTATCCCATCCCCAATGTAGACAGTCCCAGTAAAACTCCCCTGCAACATCCCCAGGTCAATCCTTCCTGCTCCGTCACATGGCCCTCTGGGGAAGGTAGAGCCATTTCCTCACCAGCTACCTGATGGTGCTGTCAGCTTTGTTCAGGGGCACCTTGGTTATGGCCAGTCCCCTGAGGCCAAAGGAGATGCGGGTGATTAGGAAGGTATTGAGGGTGTTGATCTTTTGCTAGGGGGTGAGCAGGAAGGAGTCGATTTGGGCTGTGTCCCACAGGATCTCTGCAATGGTGTCTTCGGAGGTGTCAAGGTTCCTTCCCCACTCTGAACTCTAGGGTACAGAAGTGGGGACCTGCACGAAAGACGCCCTAAGCTTATTCTTACCAGCTTAGGTTAAAAGCTGCCACCACCAAAGTGTAACACAAAAAACAGGGGAAGTGCCCACTTGGAGACATTCTCCCCCCACCCCCCCAAATATCCCCCCAAGCACTACACCCCCTTTCCTGGGGAAGGCTTGATAAAAATCCTCACCAATTTGCATAGGTGAACACAGACCCAAATCCTTGGATCTCAAGAACAATGAAAAAAACAATCAGGTTCTTAAAAGAAGAATTTTAATAGAAGTAAAAAGAATCACCTCTGTAAAATCAGGATGGTAAATACCCTACAGGGTAATCAGATTCAAAACATAGAGAATCCCTCTAGTATAAACCTTAAATTACAAAAAGACAAAGACAGGAATCTACATTCCATTCAGCACAGCTTATTTTCTCAGCCATTTAAAGAAAACAAAATCTAACGCATCTCTGGCTAGATTACTTACTAAGTTCTAAGACTTCATTCTTGTTCTGTTCCTGGCAAAAGCATCAGAGAGAGAGAGAGAGAGAGAGAGAGAGCTTTGTTTTTCCCTCCCTCCAGCTTTTGAAATTATCTTGTCTCCTCATTCATCATTTTGGTCAGGTGCCAGCGAGGTTATCTTAGCTTCTTAACCCTTTACAGGTGAAAGGGTTTTTCCTCTGGCCAGGAGGGATTTTAAAGGTGTTTACCCTTCCTTTTATATTTATGACAGGGACGTTTAGGTTGGATATTAGGAAAAGCTTTTTCACTAGGAGGGTGGTGAAACACTGGCATGGGTTACCTAGGGAGGTGGTAGAATCTCCATCCTTAGAGGTTTTTAAGGCCCGGCTTGACAAAGCCTTGGCTGGGATGATTTAGTTGGGGTTGGTCCTGCTTTGAGCAGGGGATTGGACTGGATGACCTCCTGAGGTCTCTTCCAACCCTAATATTCTATGAAGATGGAGAAATTCTCCCCCTGCACTCAGAATGAGCAGAAAACCTTTTATTAGAAACTAAGCTGCAGCTAGAGGGAAGCCGGAGTCTGTACTCAGCCTTTACCACACATTTATCTTAGAGGCCAGTCAGGGTAATGCACCGGTGTCCCCTGGAGCGGCAGTGACACCCAGTGGCCAGTCAGGATAATGACCAGACTGTTTCCCCAGGATCAGCTATGACAGTTGGTGGTCAGTCAGGGTAAATCATAGAATGAATCTGCCCTGGAGCAGCAGACACACCCGGTGGGTGACCAGTGAGGATATTGCACAGAGTGCATCTGCCTTGGAGCAGCAATGACACCAGAGGCCAGTCAGAGGTAATCCATGGAGTGTCTCTTCCATGGAGCAGCAGTGACACCCAGTGGCCAGTCAGGATAATGCACAGAGTGTTTGTCAGAGAAGAACAGTAACATCCCCAGCAGCGCCAACCTCTTCCGGTGGTGGTTGGGGAGGGTGGGGGGGAATAGACAGAAAATTGTGGCAGCTGCAACCCCACTTGCCATGAGACTCTGCCCCTCCCTATGGCTCCACCCCTTGCTCCTCCACAGTGAAGTGCCAGCCCCTGTTCCAGGACCGGCTCTAGCTTGGGGCGGCACAATTCCAGGGGTGGCATTGTGGGTGGCACCCCCCCCCCCTTTTTTTTTGCTTGGGCAGTTGCACTCTTGGAGCAGCAAATTTTTTGCTTGGGGTGGCAAAAAACCTAGATCCGGCCCTGCCCCCTCCAAGGCCCTGGCCATGTCAGAGGCCAGAAACTAGAGTCAGGCAGGTGAGGCGGCTGCTGCATTAGCTTATGTCATGGTGCACACAGCTGCAGAGCTTCCCCATCTTGTCCTCCTGCTGCTTGGGACCTGGTGCTGCGGCTGCTCCTCAGCTCCCTCCTGCCCTTTGACTGCTCACAGCCCATAAGAGCCGCCCAGGACCTGGCTGTGGGGCCAGCACAGCCCTCAGGGAGCAGAACCCACTCTGCCAGAGCACATCAGTCCAGGATGCTGTGCTGAGCCCTGGACCCTCCACCTGCCCTGGGTGGTGCACCCTGGTGGTCAGAAACACATGCCAAGGGCTACCCTCGGGGCTCCCCCACTCACGTCCTCTGAAGCAAGCCAGAGTTGGTAGGGTGTGACCAGGGAAGCTCACCCAGTGATGTAGAAGGAACAGAATTGAGGACTGAGTATCTCTGGTTACAGGGATGTTGCTCTCCATAAAGTTACCGTACTTCAGGAAGACTTCATAGCACTGGACAACTCCTTGAGAGGGCACAAAGGGCTCCCCCAAGCATATCATGTCCCAGAGAGATGCAAAGGCCTTTTCTCAGGGACCCACCCCATGCTGACAAGAGTTTTTGGAGCCCTCCCTCAATACTTAACTTAAGCAGATTTTTATTTGCTCTTCCTCCGTAGATCACTGTCTGGTTTCCATCTCCCTGGATGGTCTCAGCCACAGGTTGGTCATTCTCTCATCTACCCAAAATCAATAGGAACTGAAAAGAGAGAGAGAGAGAACACACTTGTAAGTTAGTCTTCCATTCACCAGTGCTTGCCTTAGACAGACAGACACACACATCACCTGGCTCTGCTCACTGGACCCCCTTCTCTATACCTCTCCAGCCTACCCAGGGCCTAAAATGCTCATCTCTCATAAGGAACTATAGCCACCCAGGTCTCTCCACACCCTCAGCCGACGACACCCATGCCTGCCAGGATGCTCTGGTTCTCTGAAGAAAGGAATGACTGAGTACTGAACTGGCGAACAATGTGTTCTTCAGTGACTCACACCAAATGACATGGAAGGACAGACCAGAAACTACAGAGCATCTCTACTTGCACACAGGTCACCCTCCTTCACATTTAGTCATGGGGAGGAGGGGGACACTCTCAGACAATTATCAGCCAAAGACCCTTCTACTATCTCCATTGGATATAGGCAGGTGTAGAAAGCTGTGGGGATGCAGACTTGAGTGTCAATAGCTCTGTGCCTAGATGGGTCATGTTAGCTATAGACTTACAGGCGGAGGGGGGTGGAAGGAAGTGACTTGTTGTTGTTGCTGTCTCTAGTCTAGTGGATGCAATCTAGAGCTGATGGGACTTGTCTGCTTCCCTGAAATTATGTATTATGTGCTTGGTTAGTCAGAGCCCTCTGAGAGCAGTGAGAGGCCATTTAAAGGGAGCGGATTTCTGTGTGTGGGCCCTTGCAGGGGGAGGTGGCAGAGGCCTTGCACCTGTGGTGTAACGGATCGGTTCCGTGGCTGCCTCTTGATCCTCAGGGACCAGGTCCTCATGAGCACTGGGTGTAGCCTCCACAGGCGGATGTGGGGCTGGGTCCAGGTTTTGTGGTGGGTCCTGGGGCTGAGAGTTGCCTCTGGGAGGCAAGATCCTGAATGGGAAGGCGGAAGAACGCCAGGAGGGGCACCCTGGGCCTGATGGTATGCCCAAGGGGTCCAGAATTGCCACTGGGGTGCTGATACGTCCTGCCTTAGGCTCCACAGCCTTGATCTGGGTGCCTCAGACATCCCCGATGCCCTGCCTGATTGAGGGCGATCAAGAGGAACGGCCCGGGGGGGGGGGTGGCAGTGCGGGACTGCACAAGGGAGGCATCGTCCTCCGACAGACGGGATGGGTGCTGTGAACGGTAGCGGGGTCTCGACGTTTATCTGTACCGCGGTGCAGGATGGTGTCGCTGTGGGGAGAGACTGTGGTGCGTGAAGTAGAGCGGTGCTGCAACGTGTAGCGGCGCCGGGATAAGGACTGGTGCCTCGATGTAGAGCAGTGCTGCAATTGAGGACAGTGTCGAAGCATGTGCCAGGAGTGGAAGCGGTGTCATGAGCGGGAATGGTGCTGTGTTGGGGAGCAGTGCCGCGAGGTAGAGCGGTGCCAGGATGGGGTGCAGTGCCGTTATGTAGAGTGGTGTCGGTCCGTCGGGCAATGCCTGGAAGGTGCAGGCTGAGGCCCATGCTGAGAGCGCCGCGAGGTCACAGAGTGGGACCATGACTTATCCGCCGACGAACACTTCGAGTGGGAGTGGCTCCGAGGGTCGGGGCTGCGAGACCAATGCCACGAGTTGGACTAGCGCAGGGCACAGGTGTGATGCCAGGACTCCGAGCGGCGCGGAGATCCTGGTTGGGGGGCAGACAGGCCGAACACGGTCAGCTTGCCCCGTATGGTGCCGTGCCTCGAGGGAGTTGAGTCCTCGTAGTTGGAGACCTGGGCGCTGCTATCTCAATGAGCCCCCTAGTGGCTTTGAAGGTGTCTGGAGTCGAAGGCATCATGACCTCCCCCACATGCAGCCACGGTGAGTCCAGGAGCGCGGGTCTTCCTGGGGAGAGGGGCCCACGATGACTGTGCCCAGCCCGAGGGTCTGTCAGCCATAGGCCTGTTCCCTGCACTGTCCCCTTCCAGGGGTGCAGTGTCCGTGGCAGGCAGAAAAATCTCATTTTATGAGTGTCCCAATTTAAAATAAAGATTTCACGGAAGTCAAAACTCCAACAACTCCCACCCCTGGACCCAGTGATGGGAAATTGTGGTGTAGCAAATGTGGCAGAACAGCCCCCGCCTTCCCCTCCCAAAAATCTAGATGTCAGTAACTCCTAGTAGTAGGAAATTGGGACATTGAGCAGTTTGTGATGCTACAGCCCCGTCCCAGCTTTGCCCACCCCATTGAGACAGTTTTGTGCCCTGCAGGTAGTCACTATGGTGTAACAGTGCCATGGTGCTACAGAGAAGATGGTGGCACATTTCCCAGTCCTAAGACACCAGGGTGTCTCTGTGCTTCGTAGGCTGCTCTGTGTACATGATGTGAGGAGGTTTGAGGGACCACCCTGGCCAGGGTCTTGCTGCCCAAGGAAGGTGAGACCTGCAGCAGGCTTTGGAGCAGGCGGTTCAGCAGCTGGGAAACCGCATGCTTGTACATCCCTGAGCAGCAGGTTGAGCACTGCATGTAGCACACGTGTAGCGCTGCAAGACCAGGTTCTGCTGGGTGGATGTTGCAGGAAACAGGGGCCCAGAGGTGACAGAACCAGCAGCCATGAGCTGAATCCACCAAACTAGCAGCCTGTGACATCACCATCCATCCCTTCAGCCCTCTGTCCAACCCTTCAGTCCAACCCCCTGTATGTTATATACATCCCTCCATCCACATTCCTTACACACTCGTCTCCATATGCATCCCTCTGTCTCTGATTGTCCATGCAATGCTCAGCACAATGAGACTTGGACCCTGAGCGAGGCTTTTGGGTGCTGCAGTAATGGAGCTGGGGGTGATAATATAGGTCTGGGCAGCACTAGTCCCAGCAGCACTTCTCCTAAGCCCAAACTCTCTACAAAGATGGGGGGTGGGAGGAGCGGCCCACTGAGCCTGGCAGGCAATACACATTCTTCCCAGTACGGCAGAGACCATGCCCATGAGCAGATAGATCCTGCTCAGCCCCACGGGACACTGAGGGGACGCAGGTGAAGAGGGTGCATGCAACTGAGCATGGGAGCCTGCGGGGTCATTAGCCAGTACTTGGTTCTGTTGAAGGCTCTCCACATGATGTCCGCTTTCTCTGCCTTGGGTCGCCATGAGGAGTAGGGGCAGGCACCAGGTGTACAAGCATTTGGGGGTTCAGTGTCTGGGAGGGGTTTTGGGGAAGGATGCAGACACCTACACCTGGGCGGTAGGGGGGAGTTTCAGGGGGATTAGACAAACACACACACCCATACTGGGTCATACCAATGGTCCGTCTAGTCCAGTATTCCTGTCTATCATAGTGGCCAGTGCCAGACGCTTCTGGCAGTTGAAGGTTTAGGGACACTCCAAAGCATGAGGTTGCATCTCTGACCATCTTGTCTGAGAGCCGTTGATAGACCTATTCTCCAGGAACTTACCTAATTCTTTTTGAACCCAGTTATACTTTCGGCCTTCACAACATCCCCTGGCAATGAGCTCCACAGGTTGACTGTGTTGTGTGAAGAAGTACTTCCTTTAGCTTCATTTAAACCTGCTGCCTATTAATTTCATTGGGTGGCCCCCTGGTACTTATGTTACGAGAGGGGTAAAGAACACTTCCTTATTCACTTTCTCCCCACCATTGCTGATTTCATGGACCTCTGTCATAATCCCCCTTAATCGTCTCTTTTCAAAGCTGACCAGTCCCAGTCTTTTTAATCTTTCCTCCTATGGAAGTGGTTCCAATTGTTCTGGTCGACGCCCTTCTCTGCACCTTTTCCAATGCTAATATATCTTTTGTGAGATGGGGTAACTAGAACTGTATGCAGTATTCAAGGTATGGGCATATCAAAGATTTACATAGTGGCCTTATGGTATTTTCTGTTTCATTATTTTTCCCTTTCCTAATAGCTCCTAACATTCTGTTGGCTTTTCTGTGCTGCTGCACATTGAACAGCTGTTTGCAAGGAACTATCCACTATGACTCCAAGATTTTTTTCTTGCATGGGAACAGCTAATCAACACTGAACTTTATCTGTCATTTTGTTGCCCAGTCACCCAGTTTTCTGAGGTCCCTTTGTAACTCTTCGCTGTCAACTTTTTCAAGATAGTTAAGTCTCTTTCCAAAAGTTGATCGGTTGTGAGCAAGAACTGCTATGATGGGGCATAGTGGGAGAGTCCCTCTCTGTGATAATATATAGATCTCTTATAGAGCTGACTATACAAAAGTAGAGTTGGCTAGGCCAAAAAAGAATTTGAAAAGCAACTTGCAAAAGACAGAAAAAACTAACTGCAAAATTATTTTAAGTACATCAGAAGCAGGAAGCCTGACAAACAATCAGCGGGGCTACTGGATGATCAAGGTGCTAAAGGAGCACTCCAGGAAGACAAGACCATTGCAGAGAAGCTAATTGAATTATTTGCATTGGTCTTCACTGCAGAGGATGTGATTCCCTCATCTGAGCCATTCCTGCTAGGTGACAAATCTGAACAACTATCCCAGACTGAGGTGTCAATAGAGGATGTTTTGGAACAAATTGATTAAATAGTAATAAGTCACCAGGATGTGAGGGTATTCACCCAAGAGTTCTGAAGGAACTCGTATACAAAATTGCATAACTACTAACTGTGGTATGTAACGGAAGGCCCTCATGTACTTTTTGGACTGCCACTGCACAGTGATCTAACAGAAGGTTAGGAACCATTAGTAAAGAAATCAAGACAGAAAATATCATAATGCGATTATATGAATCCATGGTACACCCACACACTGATTACTGCGGGCAGTTTTGGTCGCCCTATCTCAAAAACAGATGTATTAGAATTGGAAAAGGTGCAGAGAAGGGCAACAGCAATGATTATGGGTATGAAAAAACTTCCATAGGAGGAGAGATTAAAAATACTGGCACTGTTCAATTTAGAAAAGAGATGACTAAGGGTGATATGAGAGAGGTCTATACAATCATGAATAGCATGGAGGAAGTGAATAAGGAGTGGCTAGACTCTATAGTCCACCAATGCAAACTTTTTTTGGTTTTGAGTTTTTTGAACACCTACAAACACAACTACATCGTTACTCCCTGGAGAAAGCCTGCAACTGTGATGTGTTTGTTTCCCCATTTGTAAAATGCGGAGGATTATATCTTCTTTCCGTTCAATTTCTGCATGAAAAACCCTCCGGAGCAGCTCACGTAGCCTGACTGACGTTATATAATGACCGCGCATTGGGGCAGTGAATGTCACTCCGCACACTTTCAAGGCTACTGCTCTTGCTACTCTTAAAAGCATCAAACACTAATTTAGTAACATTTCACGGGAAAACTTGTTTATACTGCAGTCTTTATAAACTGGAGTTTTTAAAAATGAGCTTGAAGAGAAAGTCGAACTCTGAAGCAAAGGTCTGTCCTTTATGTAACTGAGTCCATGGAGGGACTGGCCCATATCCTGCAGACACTTATGCACGTGCGTAACATTAGATGCATATCCTTTGAACATTTGCAGGCATAGACCCATCCCCAGCAATTACAGTAGAACCTCAGCGTTACAAATACCCCAGGAATAACTCTGAACAAAATGTTATGGCTGTTCTTTCGACTGAACATAGATTGAATACAACTTTAAAACTTTACTATGCAGAAGAAAAATGCTGCTTTTAACCATCTTAGTTTAAACGAAAACAAGCACAGAAACAGTTTCCTTACCTTTTCAAATCTTTTTTTAAAGCTTTCCCTTTTTTTAAAATCATTTACGTTTAATACACTACTGTACTCTATTTGCTTTTTTTTTTAAATAATCTCTGCTGCTGCTGATTACATATTTCCTGTTCCAAATGAGGTGTGTGTTTGACGTGTCGGTATGTAACTCTGTTGTTCGTAACTCTAGAGGTTCTACACACAAAATTCACTTAAAGTCAAGTATTCATTAAGCTAATTTTTCCTACTGGGGACTAGGCTGCTGCAACAGGGATGGGATGGGAGAAGCCTGGGTAACTCTAGGGAACAAATTTTTAGGCCTGACTAGGGTCATTGCAAAAGCAAACAAGTTACCAAAAAAACCAAAAAACACCCTACTGATCAATCACACAACACACATCCAGCTGCACCAAGCAGTGCCCAGGTCACCACAATCTAGAAACACAGGCAAGAGAAGACAACTCCTCCCATGAGGTATCAGGGCCCAGTGGGGAGCTGCACTAGAAATACACATTAGAATTTGCCAAGGAAGATCAGCAGCTCTCAAGATGGAGAAATCCTCCACCTGCCCCCAGAGCTAGTTGGGAACCTTTTATTGGAAATTAGCCCCAGCCAAAGGGAAGTACTCTCTAAAATCATCAGGGCTGTCACCACAGCCATTAGGAGACAAACACTTATCTTAGTGACAAGAACAGCTGCTTTGCTCCCCGCTGGTCTTGCCTGGCATCTGTCTTGAGGCCAGGCTAGTTTTGCTCTCTACCTCAGGACGGAGCTGAACTAATCCTCCACAAGTGTTCCCTTGCAGAAAACACAACCCAAGAAAAACTTAGTGGCAGAGACAGCAATGGTATTTATCTCTGGCTCTTGCTATTCCAGAGGGATTTTTCCTACACTCCTCAAGACAGTAATGGCTAACTGAAGAGGCACCTGGCTGCTCTTGCACCCAAAGCAATCACACTGCACAGCAGACTACTGTCCCTTCCCCTTGCCTTTATCCCAAAGAGGTCTGTACCTAACCAGAATGCTCACGTCTTCTGAAGGAAGCTAGTCAGTACAGAAAAGGAGCAGAGTGCAGTGACCAGTTATTCACACCCAGTGATGTGGAAGGAAGAGAGTTGAGGCCTGAGCCTCTTGGTTACAGGCAATTTACCTTCCTGGAAGATAACCATAATTCAGGAAAAACTAATACTTTCCCTTCCCGGGGCCCTGACAACTCCCTTAGTGGGAAACCGGGACTCCACCAACCTTCATGTGCCCCAGTTAGATTCAAGGACTTTTTTCTCATGGACCCACCCTATGCTAACATAACACGTTTCTCTTCATAGACAAGAGCGTTTACAGCGCTCTTTCAATACTTACCTTAAGTAAATTTCTATTTGCACCTACTCCACAGCTCACCGTCTGGTTTCCATTCCGCTGAATGGTCTCAGAGTGGCTGCTCCTTCTCCTGGTCTCTCCTCCAGGTTGGCCATTCTCTCATCTGCCCAACGCCATTAGGAACTGAAAAGAGAACGCAGGCCAGCACTGGGGCATGGAGGACAGACATGGGCAGTCGGGTCACTGGTTTCTGCTTCCTGGAGCCCCCTTCCCTAGTCCCCACCAGCCTAGCCAGCGCTTGAAGTGATCAGCCCTGGTAAGGGACAACAGTCCTGCAGGTCTCTCCCTACCCCTATCCCATCCCATGCCTGGCCAGGATGCTCAGGTCCTCTGAAGGAACAGAAGATGGTTTTCTTTGGCTGTACTCGATATTTTGTCCAGTGACTCACACCAGTGACTTGGAAGGACAGACCAGGAATGACAGAGTGTCCCTAGTTGCAGGCAGGTTTTCCTTCTTCACATTCAATCTTGGGGAGCAGGGTGATGCTCCTAGCCCATTAGCAGCCAAATGCAGGGCTCCAACCTCCCCAGGACCCATCCCTTGCAAAGAAGAAGCAGCTCTCTGCTCTCAGGGAGGCACCTTGCTACTCAGACACTTGATAGAGAGACATCATTTCAGCAAAATACACAGCTGCTCCTCCTCCATCACCAGACAGAACTCTTGGGCTCCTCAGCTCCCGCCGAGTGGGATGTCCAGGCTGCTCAGGTCCTCATCTGGCTGGGCTGCTCTACTGGCCTGGACAAGTTCTCCGCAAGCACAGCGAATAAGCCAACAGCCATCACTGCCCAAACCTGTGCCAGGGTGTGAGCTTCTGTCTTCTCTGTCTCATCTGCGCTAGAGCAGACCTATATTAAGAGAGAGAGTCAACAATGATTAAAGCTAAGATTATATCGCGGAGGTCACAGAATCAAAGAATTCGTGACTTCCAGAGATCTCAGTGACATTTTCCACCTCAGCCCTGGGGCAGCAACACTGGAACTGTCAGCCAGTGGGGGCCCCGTAGTTATCAGCCACCACTGGCAGCAGGGGTCCCCTACAGCTCCCAGCAGCCATGGGTGGCAGGAGAGCTCCCCCAGGCCCATGCCACAACAGATGGACTGCACAGCTCCCAGCTACTGTGAGCAGCGGGGGCCCCCCAGAACTCCCAGCTGCAGTGGGCAGACCCCAGAGCTCCCAGGCACCATATGTGAGAGGGGGACCCTGGAGCTCCCAGCTGCCACAGGCAGCCCCCAGTCGCTGCAGGCAGGTGGGGGACCCTATAGGTCCCAGCCACCATGGGAAGAACCTGGAATTCCCAGCAGCCACAGGTGACAGGAGGACCCCATAGACCCATGCCATTTTAGATGCACCCCTGTAGCTCCCAGCTGCTGCATGTGACAGAGGGACCCCAAATGTAGGGGGGCACAGCTTCCAGCTGCCACAGCCGCTGCAGGCAGCAGAACCCTGCAGCTCCCAGCCGCTGCAGGCAGACTCTGGAGTTCCACAGCCCCGTGCCATTGCAGATGGACCCTGTAGCTCCCAGCCACCACAGGTGGACCCCAGAACTCCCATTTGCCACATGTGGCAGAGGGACCCAGGAGCGCCCAGCCATTGTGGGCGGGGGGAGGGCCCCACAGCTCCCAGCCACTGCAGGGGAACCCCACAGCTCCCACAGGCAGACCCTGGAGCTCCCAGCGCCATGGGCGGCAGGACAGCCCTCACAGGTCCACACCACTGCGTATGGACCCTGCAGCTCCCAGCTGCTGCATGTGGACCCAGGAGTTCCAAACAGCCATTGATGGTGTGGGGACCCCACAGACCCGCCTAATTACAAATAGACCCCACAGCTTCGCAGACCCTGGAGCTCCCAGCAGCCATAGGTGGTGGGGGAGCTCCCACAGGCCCCTGCCACCGCAGATGGACCCTGCAGCTCCCAGCTGCTGCAAGCAGACCTGAGAGCTCTCTGCCACCATGGGTGGACACCAGAGCTCCCAGCCTCCACAGGCAGCCTTCAGCCACTGCAGGCAACAAAGGGAACCCCCAGCTCCCAACCACTGCAGGCAGATCCTGGAGTTCCCAGTCACCGTGGGCGGCAGGGTAAGCCGCAGCCTCATGCCATTGCAGATGGACTCCGCAGCTCCCAGCCGCCACAGTTGGACACCAGAGTTCCCAGCTGAGCAATGTTGTGAAGGCCAAGACTATAATAGGGTTCAAAAAAGAACTAGATAAATTAATGGAGGCTAGGTCCACCAATGGCTATTAGCCAGGATGGGCAGGGATGCTGTCCCTAGCCTGTTTGCCAGAAGCTATGAATGAGCGACAGGGAATGGATCACCTGATGATTACCCATTTTGTTCATTCCCTCTGGGTCACCTGGCATCGGCCACTGTCAGATATTGGGATAGATGGATCTCTGGTCTGATCCAGTATGGCCGTTCTCATGTTCTTAGGAACCCAGGAATTCCCAGACACCATGGGCAACAGGGGGACCCCACACCTCCCAGCTATCACGGGCAGACCCTGCAGCTCCCAGCAGCCACGGAGGACTCTGGAGCCACAGCCAGGGGTGATGGGGGGAACCCAGGAGCCACGAGAGAAGTGGTAGATGCCTCCTGCTTCCCCATTTTGTCAGTTATTTTTAGTAAAAGTCAGGGACAGGTCAGCGCTTCCATCAATTTTTGTTTAATGTCCATGACTTTTATCAAAAATAACCATGACAAAAATCTTAGCCTTAACTATGATGGGTCAACTGTAACCCTCTTCCCCAATACTTTTGCCCCCTGTAGCAAACATTACCCTTCCCCCCTCTCTAGGGTGCTACTGACACTAAAACGATCTAAACCCCCCTACTTATCAATCGCTATTGCTTGGCACCCCATTGCCACCCGTACTTCTATGCTGCTGATGGCCAAACCCTCCCCCCAAAATCTAAACCCCAAACCCCAAGATTTAACCCACCCCCCACCCAGAACCCAACCTGAACCAATAATTGCTAACCCAGATCCCTATAACCTGGTCCCCAACCCTAACCCCCTTAACCCGAAACCGCAGCCCCATCCTCACCCCCACCCTAACCTCTAGCTCTGAGCCCCGCCCCCCTAGGCCTGACACGGCTCTCACCCAGAGCCCAGCTCCCCACTCCCCCCGTGCAACAACAGCGCAAGCCTCAGGCCGCCCGCGTACAGCGCCTTCGCTCACACGCACGGAACAGATTCTGCAGCTACGAACATCCCCCCACGCACCCGCCGCGACGCACGGAGTCCGGTCCGGTCCGGTCCGGTCCGGCCCGCGCCCGCGGACCTGCGGCTGGCTCGCTGCCCGCAGGATCCTCGCGCCCCAGCCTGGGGATTTCCCGCCTTCCGCTCAGCGACTCCAAACTGTCCCGCGTCTTCGAGACGTTTCTAAGCCGCGGCACCTGCGGAGATCTCCGCCCCCAGGCAGTGACAGCCCATTGGCTGCCAGCTCCAGAAAACGTCACCTACTGACAGCCCATTGGCTCTCAGAAAACACCTGCGCGCGCAAGCGGGCGCGACCAGCGAACATCCCCAGGGGCTGCGGCTTTTCGCCCGGCAGGACGGCAGCGCCCGCTGCTGTGGTCTCCGCTCCTCCGCCCAGGCAGCCGGAATCAGCGCCGCTCGGCCTCGAGCGGCTTCTCGCGGGCGTGCACTGAGCTCCGACTGCACAAGGCCCTGACGGCTCCGCCCATCATTGCTTTCAGAAAACGTCACCTGGCGACGGCCCAATGGGAGATTAGCTGTGTCTGAAAACGTCACTTAGTGAGGGCCCTATGGGAGATCAGCTTTCAGAAAACCCCACCTCACTACGCCCAATGGGAGATCAGCTCTTTTAGAAAACGTCACGTCACTAGGCCCAGTGGGAGATCAGCTGTCAGAAAACGCGGGGCAGGCCCGAAGCGCGGCGCTTCCCCAGTCGCGAGACAGCGAGCGCCCCGCCCCGCCCGCGTCGTGTAGCGGCTCTCCTCGCCATCACCAGCACGCGCTAACCGGCCCCACGCTGCCTTCCAGGCCAGGCACCGCCTCGCGCCTCAACGGCTCCCCTGCTCGTTCCCCAGGGCCGCTGTCAAGACAGCGCGCGTGATAACACGCCTCAGCCCACTCCGTCAACAGCTCATTTGAAAGGCCCCCCGAGAGGCAGCGATCTAGTTTCAAAACCGCCATAACCGTACCAAAGCACCCACCCGTGCAACAGTCCTCCAACGGCTCGCCCCGCTGCCCGGCGCGCCTTCCCTACGGCGGGCAACCGCCTTCCACGTGAGGGTGACCACACACCTAGTCAGCCGCAGTTCTGCCCAGGCAGGCTCCCAATAAGCCACACTAAAAATATGGGTCCCAACGCCAAAATTTACTCAAGTTTTACCCCAATGTCCCCAAACGGCCAGATTTTAATATGCAAATAAGATACTGCCTTGCTCAGTCAACTCTCTCTGCCCTTCGGTGGAGCCTGCCGCCAGAGAACAACCTTGGTATTTAAATTAGCTCGTCCGTCGCTCAGTCAATTCCCTCTGCTCTCCAGCAGGTGACGTCGCAGAGCTCCCAGCTGCTCACTTACCTTTCTCCCATCAGCTTCAGGCCTTATTGGGACCCAGAAAGTGGGCAGGCAAAGCCCGCCCACTGCTAAAGGATCCCCCCCCCCCCCAGCCTAAGGGGTGGGGGGTCCACAGGACCTGGAAAACCAAGTAATTATGGGGGACAACTAATGAAATAACAGGGACGGGAGTGCGGTCAAAGGGTCAAACGAAGGGAACCGGACGGGGACACCGAGCAGAGGACCCCGGACAGCGCCCACTGCTCCTCAAAGGCATCAAGGGAGTCAGTGGACGCTGCCCAATGGAACTCTGCCCGGAGACATGAACGGACAGAGGATCGGAAATAGGCCCCACAGTCACAGGAGATTCCATCGGCCAACCTCCTCACCCTGGTTTTATAGATGGCCACTTTAGCCAGGGCCAGGAGGAGGTTGACTAGGAGGTCCCGCGACTTAGTGGGGCCATGGACAGGGAGTGCATAGATAAGGAGGTGAGGGGAAAAGTGCAACCAAAACCTTAACAAAATATTCGTGAGGAGCCAGAATAGGGGCTGCAACCTGGCGCACTCCAGGTAGACGTGTGCCAGGGTATCAGCTTCAGGCCCCAGGGTTTATAAATGCATAAACCGTGTGGGATTCTAGCAGAAGAATATCACTTATTCAGTTGGGTTAGCAGTTGAGGAATGTGAGCTGCTCTGAGGGGACATACTTGCATACGTGGGCTAGTATTGCAAAGATACCATTCGAATTTCTGTGAGACAATTTTAAGGGTAATTTATATTTGGTAAAAAGCTTATTTAGTGAAAGAAATGCTGGAGTGACAGCACGGTTACTCGGGCTACAAAAACGCTTTCCCCCCTGGGTGAAACAAGAAGTTCGAATTAGAAAACTACATAGCTTGTTCCAATGTCGGTACAGGTTTAATTTAGCTTACGTGCAGGTTTGTTTAAGGCTGACTGTTTTGGTTTATTGGTTTGGTTTCGTTTTTTTTTAGTTGAATTGGAGCTTTTAATTGATGTTTGCTGGATTGGAATGTCTGACATACAATATCAGTTTTGACACAGTTCTGCATATTTTTATACAGATTTGGCCAATATTCAACTATTCAATTGCTTTATAGGTGATTTTAATAGGAGGGCTTATTTATTTTGTTATTTTATCATCCTGTAGTAGCACTCTTTTTTGATAATTTATGACATTTGTTAATTTTTGTTTTTAAAAACAAAATAGTTTTTATTAATGTTTGGGTTTTAAATTAATCATTGGGTTCAGTTTCATATTTTGGTTTCTGATGGGATATTTACGAGGATTTCGGATTTAATACTAAAATTTGGACAGATTTAGATTATTTATATGGACTTGGACTAAATCCTGTTTACTATTTTATTTTAATAAAGGTTATATTGCTGTAAACCCTGGCCACGGGGGAGAGGAGATGAGCCTAGCCTTTAACTAAGGAGCAGAAGCATGGGCCCCATGAGGGGTGGAGCCAGGTGATGAGGGGGGCACAGCCCCTCAATTTTTTTATCTAGCCCACCTCTCTGCCTCCTTCCTCTCCCTCTCACCAAACGGCAAGAGGTTGATGCCACACCAGCTGGCCATGCTGAATTACCCCAACTGGTCACTGGGTGTCACTGCTGCTCCAAGGGCGACATACTCTCTGCATTACCCTGACTGGCCACCGGGTGTCACTGCTGCTCCAAGGGACTCACCTGTGCACTACCCCGGTTGGGCACCTGGTGTCACTGCTGCTCCAAGGGACTCACCTTCTGTGCACTACCCCAGTTGGCCACCGGGTGTCACTGCTGCTTCATGGGAGATACAGTCTGTGCATTACCCTGACTGTCCACCGGGCGCCCCTGCTGCTCCAAGGGCGACATAGTGTCTGCATTACCCTGACTGACCACCGGGTGTCACTGCTGTTTCATGGGAGATATACTCTGTGCATTACCCGGACTGGCCACTGGGTGTCACTGCTGCTCCAAGGGCGACATAGTGTCTGCATTACCCTGACTGATCACCGGGTGTCACTGGGCTTCATGAGAGATACAGTCTGTGTATTACCCTGACTGGCCACTGGGTGTCACTGCTGCTCCAAGGGATGAAGTGAGCTGTGGCTCACGAAAGCTCATGCTCAAATAAATTGGTTAGTCTCTAAGGTGCCACAAGTCCTCCTTTTCTTTTTGCGAATACAGACTAACACGGCTGTTCCTCTGAAACCTGCTGCTCCATGGGAAACACAACCTGTGCATTACCCTGACTGGCCACCGGGAGCCACTGCTGCTCCAAGGGACTCACCTTCTGTGCATTACCTCAGCTGGCCACCGGGTGTCACTGCTGCTTCATGGGAGATACACTCTGTGCATTACCCTGACTGGCCACTAGGTGTCACTGCTGTTCCAAGGGAAAGACCTTCTGTGCATTAGCTCAACTGGCTACGGGGTGACACTGCTCCACCATGGAAGACCCCTTCCCCCCCCACTCGCCGCATTACCACAGCTGGCCACCTGGTGTCACTGCGCCTCCATGGGAAACACAATTTGTGTATTATTCTGACTGGCCATCAGGTGTCACTGCTGCGTCATGGGAGATACACTCTGTGCATTACCCCAGCTGGCCAGCAGGTGTCACTGCTGTGCCAAGGGAAACATGCTCTGTTCATTACCCAGGTTAGCCACTGGGAGTCACTGCTGCTCCAAAATTGCATCGGATGAAGTGAGCTGTAGCTCATGAAAGCTGATGCTCAAATAAATGTGTTAGTCTCTAATGTGCCACAAGCACTCCTTTTCTTTTTCCAAGGTAGACACACTGTGCATTACCCCAACTGGCCACTGGGTGTCACTGCTGCGCCATGGGAAACACAATTTGTGCATTACCCTTACAATTGCTCTAGGGAGACATACTCTCTGCATTACCCCAACTGGCCACTGGGTGTCACTGCTGCTTCCTGGGAGATACATTCTGCTCGTTTCAGTGCTGTAACGTGCCAGTACAGACAGTTCACCAGCTATGCCCCTTGTGGAGGTGTTTCTCTCAGAGTGCTGGAGAGCTCGATCGCAGTGCTGTGCCGCACCTACACACCTGGCGGCACGTTAAAGGTGCCAGTGTAGACAAGCTCTTAGAGTTCTGTCCATAAGCAGCATGCCCCTACATGCCTTTGCCTTGCTGAGTCATAAAGTGTAGTCCCCGGCCCTTTCACTGGATTCATTGTACAGCTGAAACAACAAGGAGTCCTTGTTGCACCTTAGAGACTAAACCCTGGTCTACACTACGAGTTTAGGTCGAATTTAGCAGCGTTAGGTTGATTTAACTCTGCACCCGCAAGACGAAGCCATTTTGGTAGACTTAAAGGGCTCTTAAAATCGATTTTTGTACTCCTCCCTGACGAGGGGATTAGCGCTAAAATCGACATTGCTGTGTCGAATTTGGGGTAGTGTGGACGCAATTTGACGGTATTGGCCTCTGGGAGCTATCCCAGAGTGCTCCATTGTGACCCCTCTGGACAGCACTCTCAACTCAGATGCACTAGTCCGGTAACCAGGAAAAGCCCCGGGAGCTTTTTAATTTCATTTCCTGTTTGGCCAGCATGGTGAGCTCATCAGCACAGAGGACCCTACAGTCCCAGAATCTCAAAAGAGCTCCAGCATGGACCAAAAGGGAGGAACAGGATCTGATCGCTGTATGGGGAGATGAATCCGTGCTATCAGAACTCTGTTCCAAAAGACATAATGCCAATATATATGCCAAAATCTCCAAGGGCAAATGCGAGGTGTTTACAATGCTTACAACTGCAGCAGTGATTGGAGTGGGCTCCCGCTTGCAGTGCTATGGTGTATGCGTGGGCAATCCAGGAAAAAGGGCGAGAAATGATTGTTTGCCGTTGCTTTCATGGAGGGAGGGGTCACTGATGACACGTACCCAAAATCACCAGCAGCTTCCTTATCCGTTATCTCAATTTTTTAAAATGAATAAAGAAAGAATGCATGGTTTCAAAACAATAGTTACTTTATTTCGAAGGGGGAAGGGTGGTTGGCTTACAGGGAATTAAAATCAACAAAGCGGGTGGGTTTGCATCAAAGAGAAACACACACAACTGTC